CGTAGAAATTTAATCCTAATCTTTTTAATATTACTATTTAATGTATCCATGTTACAATTACGTTCTTTCCTGGATGTACCTGCATCGTAGACTTGATGCTCACTTCGGAACTCGAATCAGTACGTGTAAAGACAAAAATTAAGCAATATCAGTTGAATTTAAACTTCACTCCAATGCACAAGCGATTGGCCATCAGCACTCGGTAGCTAAATGGATAATGCAATCGAGTTTGAAACGAACGTTACTGGTATTCGAGTCACAGAGTTAATATCAACTCTGAGTATCAAGTACATCCAGTTGATGAGTCCCAGATCGGAGAAAATACACGTCAAACTTGGTTTCACTTCTAGCCAATATCTTTGCTTAAAAATGTTTTTAATGTCTCAACTAGCAGTAACTACAGAGCATACAACATAAGTGGCATGCTTAAAGTGAAACATTTGTTCATCATATGTCACTTTAGATTGTATATATCAAATTATATATAAATAAAGTAGAAACATGTATATCATAAGAACAGCTAGATGGGCTTTATACTTATGATAATGAATGTACTGTTATAATTCGTGGAATTGTGCTTCCATTAATGTATAACGTTATAAAACCGTCAATTAAAGAATAGTGATTTATCGACGGTACCAATGACGCATAAACCGGTACGAGCAGTCTAGAGTACTTATCGGTCCTGCTTTCTGCCTGGCCCTGCCTGTCTGTTAATTCCAGAAGACAAATCTCAACCTTCGTGATATTAATCATGTATTTCAAATATACAGAGTTTCTATACAAACCAAACAAACCACATCGTGCCATATAATAGGAAACAGCATTCGTGCAAGATTTAGCCAAAAGTGGCTGTGAATGTGGTAGACTGTAATTAATTGACAGAGCATAACTCCAGAATGGTAAATGGTGTAATGATAGACCGTAGGTCAAAATAAAGCTTATAATAATGTCTCTCACATCGAATGAGAATATCATGTGCCTAAATCATTGGTTGCTTTGGTTTTCAGAACAAGCATCAGCCCCGTGACTTCCGAAAGAATTCGGCTTTCATCATAAGACATCATAACTCTTCTAAATGAAGATTTTCTAACTCCCGGGGCAGAGTTTAAATGGTTTGAATTATTTTTTCTGGTTGGCGTTTTTTGGCGAGTTAGTTTCCTACAGGATGGGGCCGCTAACTCCGTACCCAACCCTCCTTCTCTATCCGAACTTCGGACCGGCAGTAGCTCCAGAGGGGCTCCAGAAGAATTCATAGTAAGAGAAACATGAATATACATAATCTAGTCACCCAACAATTATACAACAAAAATGTATGTATTGTATTGATCCATAAATGGATCCCAAAATTTACTATCCACTTTTTTCTCAGGATATAACATTTACCTTTGACAACAATGAATTCTCAAACTATGACCAATAAACAGTTTAACGCTTGTTATTTGTTGATCGTAACAAAAACATTTATGAACTCTGAACAAAGATCAAGTTCAATATTTCCATTAAGTAGAATATTCATTATTTATAATTGGAATTTTTTAAAGCTCAAAGGTATTTTTCTATGTTCTGTATCTGAATAATATGTCTGTGAACCTCTGAGTTACATCTTATCTCTCTTAAAATATAGACAATTGATTATTCTTTCTTATCATATAACACCTTTTACCCATCGTAGAGGAGAATAGGTCGCTCAACAGAATTCTCCATCTAGTTTTGTCCCAAGCAATTCTTCCTTGTTGTTTCCAGTTACTATTCATCCTTTTAATGTCTGATTCTGATTACCTAACCTGGTATGTACTTCGGCCTTACTATTCGCATTTTCCCTCAAGCGTTCCAAGTTAGTGCTTGCTTCGTGATTCAGTTTGATGATTTCCGAAATGTGTATCCTATCCACTTTCAACGTGTTTTCTTAATTTCCTCTTCAGTTGGTAGCTGATTTGTTCTCCCCCACAGTAGGCAGCTGTTGCTGGTAGTATCCGGTCAACGGATATTGAGTATCTTGTGTAGACAATTGTTTTGAATACTTGTATTTTTGACGATGGTTGTGGTGGTTCTCGAAGTTTTAGCTCCGTACGGTAGAACTATCTTAGCGTCTGTATTCTCACTTTGATGTTGGCTTGCAAACAGGTATTTTGGTTACCATATATTCTTCAACTGTGGAAATGCTGCTATTGTTTTGCTAATCCTTGCCTTTATATCTGCATTACATCCTTCACGTTTGTCGACGATACTGCCCAAATACATAAATATGCTTACGTTGGTGTTCTCCGTGCTGTATTTGGGGATCTTTCTACTTTCCTTGTGTGTGTTGATGCCTACTGATTCAGAGTCTGCTGCTATGCTAGTTGTCTTCATCTCCATCTGTTGATGTGTATGGGATAGAGAGGCGAGGTCATTTACGAAATCCAAATCTTCTACTCGGTTCAGAGTTGACCATTGTATTCCAAGCCTTCTTCTCAGATGTCGAGTTTATAATAATTCATTCGAACACCAGAAAAGAGAGAAAGATGAAGAGTAAACAGCTCTGTCTGACTCCGCTTGTTACTTGAAAAATATCTATTCCAAGTACTTAATCTTTGATTAAATACGTTTTAATGTTATTCCTATAATGTTATAGCTCAGCTTCAATTAGGCGTAATTTCCCAAAACTACGCAAGTCTATAATGTAGTCATTTACTAGTGACTGACGTTCATGAGGTATTTTCTGGATTTCTAGTAGGAACTTGTTCCCGAATTCCCTGGCACAGCTGAGGGTGTAGAGAGTCAGCTCACCTTCTCACAGCCTCTGTCAGAGAAGTTATACTCTCTGCCTTCTCGTGTCAGGGGTGTTATTTACGAAATTGAGATGATGAAAAGCGAATATCCAGCGATTTACCCGAGTTAGTGAACACGGAGAGTTTAGCAATGGGAGGTTGAAAAATTTTCATTCCAAGATTCTTAGCAAACGAGTGTTGTAGGAATCAATCGTTGCTCCATCGCCATGTAGATTAGATCTTTAGGTCGAAAACCCCAGGTGTTTCCTGCGAAGAAAAATACTTGCTACGGTCTGGAAAGTTGGATAGTATCACAGTCTACACGCAAATCAGTTGATTTGTGTGGCGCCTGTGTATTTGGTTCGCCATTGTACCAATATTTATGTGTTGAAACAAATAAATAAGTGAAAGCATGTGGACAGTGGAATTCAACCATGTTTGTTTTCAAGGCAGGTACTCACCGGCGACAATAGTGAACGGTCGTGTAATATCGTAAATTAATTAAAGTTAAACACTAACACTATTGTACACCATCTCGATGATCTACAGTTCAAGAGTCTGCCCACGAGTCCGAACGTCCTAGGTTCGAGCTCCGCATACGAGATTATGTATATGTATACTACTCCGAGTCAAATACTACTTTAACTTGATACTAAACATTTACAATCATAACTGAAATTGAAAAACAATTTACAAGAAATCTTTAACTCCCATATCAATTTCATTTATCTAAAAGTTTGGCAAAAAGAAAGTTCAATATGACAATGTAACCAACAAACTGACGAATAGATTCTCTTTTTTCAATGTTTTTCTCTTTTTTTGTTTTTTTTTGTTTTTTCTTGTCGATTTAAAATGGAAAATTAAATAATAGTCGAGAGCAAATATTAATTATATCAATCATAGTTGCTAAGGTATTAAAGAATACAGTATATAATAATATAGATGCTAATGAATAATTAGGATAAAAGATAAGACATCTTAATTTGCCAATAGTTATATAACTGATAAATATTGTGATCTGTAAAATAAAAGAAACATGGATCAGTATGAAGATGATAGTAATTTGAATGGTTGAGTTGACGAATTGATTTGAATTAAATGCATCATTGAAATTCTAAAAGCATAATATGAAAATCTTCAACAGTACACATTTATGATTATGTTAGATCAGTTGTCTAGAGGTTAAACATTTGTATGTAAGATGGAAGGTCCTGGGATCGAGTACTGTTGAAGAGTCTCATAATAGGGTGAAACAGCCATTCAGTGTTTCCATGTTTTCAATGGTGATTTAGTTTAGATTCACCCATGAATTTAACAAGTCTAGATTTCTTATTTTGGTAATGGATGCATAAATAGACGAGTCTACTGAAATTCCTTTTTAGTAAACGTGATTCGATGATACTTCTTGTGTAATTTTACGAAGGAAATATTACCGGAAATGAAATTAATAGAGTTTCTCAACTGAAGTTATGAGTAAAGTTTACTTAGTATTGTTTACTTGAATTTTTGCATTGATGTTTCCTACTGTAATTGATCAGTCTCTCTCTCTTATTAACATATGTCCATTGTGTGAAGAGTGCCTCGATATTGTCTTAGGTCACATGCATTATAAGCAAAGATGGATAGTGATTAGTAATGGAACCCAGGACTCTCGTTTTTGTTCCATTTGGGACTCGTCAACTGCATGTACCTGAATCTCCGAGTTGATGTTCATTCTGTGACTCGAACCCAGTAGTATTCACTTCAAAGGTCATCGTGTTATCAACTTAGCTACAGAGTCATGATTGCCAGTTGCTTGTGAAATAGGTTGAAGTTTTAATTCTTTTGATAGTGTTTACTTGGATCTTTCCATTGATGTTAAGGGCTACGATTGACCAGACTCTAATCGTCACATGTAAATCTATGAGAAGATTCAAGCACGCAATACCAGGTGAATTTAAACTTCACCCCAGTGCACAAGCAACTGGTAATCATGACTCTGTAGCTAAGTAGATAACGTGATGGCGTTTGAAACGAACGGTACTGGTTACAGAGTCACAGAGTGCACAACAACTGAGATTCGGGTACATCCAGTTGATAAGTCTCAAATAGAACAAAACGCGCATCAAACTGCATTCCACTGCTAGCCACTATTCATCTTGATTTATGGAATTACAAGTACTCGTTTATCTAAAGATTGGAATGTATTACATTAATAAATTTGGATATAGTAATAGATGTTATGATTTTTCAACAGTCAGATGATTGAACAATATCACTATGTGTAGAATACGTTACAAAGTACACAGCCCAAGGCTTTTACGAGGACAGTACATCGGAACACATTTCTTAATTCAAATAATAGATATTTTATCCTCAAAACTCATACTTAAGATATTTTTACTGTATGGAGCTGAAACGAAGAGAACTACCACAACCATTATCAAAAAAGTACGAATATTCATAAATGATTGTCTACACTAGATACTAGATATCCTTTGGCCGAATACCATCAGCAAAAGCCGCCTACTTTCGGAGAAGACAAACTAACTTCCAGCTGAAGATGAAATTACCAAAAAGATGTTGGAAGTGGATAGGATGTACATTTCGGTAATCATCAAACTGAGTGACAAGGCAAAGCTTAGTTGGAAAAGTAAGAGAGGTAAATGAAGGTACACATTGCGCCGGAAATTGCAAGTAGACATGAAATGGATGAATAACAACCGGAAAGAACTGCAAAGAATTGTCTATGACAGAGTTGACATATATATATGTGGAATACATTTCATTCCTTTTCCTCGAAATTTCTACAGCAATATACACACTTTTCGAATGTCAGTAACATTATGGATAATAACATTTGCATTGTTCTGTAATTTTAACAATTTTTAAATTTATCATTGTAGAGTTACAGAGTTTATCGACCTATAAGTGATATCACGAATCAATCGATGTTTGACCACCACTGAAAACCTGGAAGCACTAGACGGTAGTCTCGTCATAGCATGGGACTTCTCAGAAGTGCGCATCCACGATCCCGTATGCGGGACTCAAACTAAGTGCCTTCAACCTCGCGGGCGAACACTTCACCTCTAGACCATTCAGCTGGCATCCAACTATGTTGAATTTCAACCAACTCACCAAATTGCGCGACCGTTTTCTATTTTCTTTGGCGAGTCACTGCGTCAAATTCGATAAGGTTGAACTACATTGGTCATAGTTTCTCACTAGAACCCCAAGAATCACCTCTCGAAGATAGTTGCAAGTGAGCACATGATAATTATCAATAATTGATTGTGGAGATTTTGATACAGTGCTTACAGGTTTTCAATGGTGGTCCAACATTGCTGGGTCTATGAAAAAACGTCATTACTCAGCAACATAGCAATTCAAACTGATATACGTAGGTACAAAGTTGGACGTCGTTACTGACTGACTGACTGACATATCCAATTTACATGCACTACAGAAATACGAAAGATGAATAGATTATGTTTCCAATAAGCCAATTATTACGTAACCATATAAACTATAAACAAATGTAACTTACAATGAATGAAAATGTTACTGCAGCTATGTAGAAAGCCAGAGCTATTACCTACAAAACAAAATTAAACTATTAGCGAAATTCACATTCGACTAATTAACAAATTTTCAATGGGTTTATTCAACATTATACAAGGAAGATCAGCACGTGAGATTCGAACAACTGACTAGTGACCATTGACTATTTGCCAACATCATCATACATATTTGAAAATAGTTAGAACTGTAATGTGTGTTACTGATATCGACAGATATGAGTAGCATGTGTGTCACTAATCGAAAGTGAAATACCTGGCGGAACAAGGTTAAGAATATCGAAGAAAAGAGATGATAACGAGAACAGAAAATGATTGGTGTGGAAACGACTGATTGACATATTGCAATTGACGTATTTACTGTATGGTTGTCAGATGTTACATCTTGCTGACGAGTGCCCAATAGCACGAAACCCAGGTTCAAATTTTCCTGTAATGTACCTCCAATCATCATCTTTTCTCAACATAGTGCACGCAATGTCGAATCATGAATCATCTGTAATTTAGTGTTTAAATACATTCAATTGTCACTAATGATGCACTCGTCCATTACAGAACTACAGAAATGTTCGAAAATGTTTTTAAATAATCAACATTTCTAATATATACCTGGAATATCTACAAGTTAATTCAAAAAAATACTTCCTGTGTTTATCTGTCCGAGTAATAAATTGATGCACGAAGTATACTTACTCATTTACTTACTTACTTACACCTGTTACTCCTCGTGGAGTAACACAACTCCGCTTGTAGCTCTTCCAGAGTTACTTCCGGTTCAAAGCCCAGATAAAGAAAGAGGGCTGGGTATGGGATCGGCAGCCCCATCCCATTGAAAACATGTTGCAGGAAGTAGATTAATTATACATTCCCAACTTAAAATTGTACTCACAGTTTGATTGCTAAAGTTCATTGAAGTTTAGTAGTCGGTTATGAATTAACTGACTAATGGTATAAGTTTTAATAGTCCCATTGAATCAATCAATGATTATAAATATTGTGAGACTACTCAGCAGTGCGCATTCAGGATCCCGCATCGCATCAGTTTACAGGGAGTTTTGTGAAAAACGTGATAATTGAGGGGCTGAATCAAATAAAACAGCTAGACCATAATTTATGGACAAATCAATCAGGTATAGGACATCAGGTCTCGGAATTTCGCGCAAACGTCTTCCATGCATTTGGCTAAATAGGTTTCTGGCATTATAGCTGGTGTCAGTTCGTGATGAAAAACCTTTATATATAATTACTAACTGAGACAAATTATGACAATTATTGAGAACTGGATAATAAAGACACCAGGAACACTGGATGCGGCCAGGTAGCACAATACATGTGGATGATTGAAGAGCGTACAAACTCCTACATATGCTTAGTTACGTGCATCGCATCGTCATCCACAAGTGGCATTTTGTGTAGCCAACAATCCGAGTGCACACAAACAATATTGAAGCTGTGCGGTCAAGGTTGATAGACTTTTTGAGACTTTATTATGGCTCCAGAGGCCGAATGTTATGGAGCTATATGGATGATTCCCTCTACTGCATGCATTACGATTTTAGAACCTCTGAACACTTTTCCAACCACGTGTAAGAAGTGTATCCACTTTATTTCTTTGGTTTTGTATAATATTTTTTCAATCTATACTTTCTGTTTGCTGATTGGCTAATATTTATCAAGGTCACCTAAGATTCGTTCAAAGGTCGTTCACAAATCATAGTCTCGCTAAAAACTCTTCTGAAATGGATTATGAATGTGTTCAATTTTTCGTTTAAAAGAAAACTAGATTCAACCACGATTACGTAATTTATGCATCGAATAATTAGTATACCTTGATTCCTGAAAAGATGAATGCGATTGCAGCTATTATAAACGTAATAAATATCGATGTAACAGATATTAGAAGACTTTTAATTTTGTCCGCCAAATTTGTTTTAATCGCTGCACCAATCAACACTGCACATATGAATAACACCAGACTAATTCCAAAAGCTGCAATTTTTAGAAGAACATATAATTGCATATACCAAATTCCTAATGCTAACGCCATACAACCAGACTGTAAATGAGAATGAATATTATGGTGTAGACGAAATATATTCAGTCATATACGCTGCGAAACACTTTGTTAAGAATAAGAGTACAGTTTATAAATAGGAATAGACAATACTTAAGAAAAGATGTATAGTGGCTAGTACTGGAATCTAGAACACGCGTTTTGTTCTGTTCAGGACTGGTCATCTGGATGTACCTCCCTCTCAGAGTTGATGTTCACCCCGTTACTTAAACTCAGTATCGTTCGTTTCAAACATCATCGCGTTATCCACTTATCTACTGAGTCCTGATAGTCAGTTGCTTGTACAATAAGGTGAAGTTTTAAGTCACTTGTTATAGTTTTACTTGGATCTTCCAGTTGATACTTACGGCCTTAATTGATCATCATCTCTCTTATTCGTAATCCGCCTGTAGCTCTTCTAGAGTTACTGCCGGTTCCAAGCCCGGGTAAAGGAGGAGGGTTGGGCATGGGGTTAGCGTCCCCATCTCGTAGAAAACTAACTCGCTAAAAAACGCTTAGCGGAAAAAATAATTCAAACCATTTTAACTTTGCCCTGGGAGTTAGAATATCTTCATTTAGAAGAATTATGACGCTTCATGATGAAAACCGAGTTCCTTCGAAAGCCATGAGACCGATGCCCCTTCTAACAACCAGAGCACCAATTTTTATAGGTTCATGGAACGTTCGAACAATGTGAGAGACCAGGAAGACCAGCCAAATAGCAACAGAAATGAGGAGATACAACTTGGCAGTACTGGGAATTAGCGAAACCCACTGGACCCAAGCCGGACAGAAAAGGCTAGCTACGGGAGAGATGCTGCTATACTCCGGTTACGAAGAGGAAAATGCTCCACAAACTCAGGGAGTCGCTCTAATGCTGCCCAAAGTAGCACGAAATGCACTTGTAGGATGCGAGTCGCACGGATCCAGAATCATCAAAGCATCATTCAAAACAAAGAAGGAGGGGATCACAATGAATATTATCCAATGTTATGCACCCATCAATGACAGCAACGACAACATGAAAGATCAATTCTATGGGAGGTTGCAATCAATCATAGAGAAGTTCCTAAGAAAGGACCTCATCATTCTGATTGAGATCTAAACGCGAAAGTTGGAATCGACAACACCGAATATGAAGATATCATGGGACGACATGGACTGAAAGAACGAAACGAAAATGGGGAACGATTTGCAAATCCGTGTGCATTCAAAAAATTGGTCATAGGAGGCACAAACCTATACACAAATCTACATGGATTTCACCGAATCACCCCACAGAGAGCCAGATAGATCATACTTGCATCAATTAAAAGATCCGAAGGACAATAGAAGATGTGAGAACCAGGAGAGAAGCTGACACAGCTTCAGATCACCACCTAGTTGTCGCCAGTTTGAAACTAGAGATAAAGAAGAACTGGACAACCAGAACTACAGAAGTTCGATACAGCCTTCCTTCAAGATACTGACAAACTCAATGAATTCAAGATAGCTCTCAACAACAGGTTCCAAGCCTTATAGGATCTACTGAAGGAAGAAGAAACTGCTATGTAGGACAGCTGAAAAGGTATCAAAGAAGCAATAACTTCAACGTGTCAAGAGGTTCTGGGCCTCAAGAAGCATCATTATAAGGAATGGATCTCTATAGAAACACTGGACAGGAACAAAGGTAGAAAGAAAGAACAAGAAGACAGCAATTAACAACAGCCGAACACGAGTAGATAAAGTCCAAGCACAAGCTGAGTAAATAGAAGCAGACAGGCAAGTGAACAAGAGCATTAGAGTCGACAAGATAAAGTTCGTGGAAGAACCAGCAAGAACGGCGAAAAAAGCTGCAAGAGAAGGAAGTATGAAACAGCTTTACGATGCAACGAAGAAACTATCAGGTAAATATAGTAAACCAGAGAGACCGGTCAAAGACAAAGAAGGCAAGCCAATTACTGAAGTTCAAGAACAGTGGAACAGATGAGTAGAATACTTCGAGGAACTCCTGAATAGGCCGGCTCCAATGAATTCATCGGACATCGGAGCAGCACACACAGATCTTCCCATAGACGTCAATCCACCAACGAAGAAAGAAATCAGAGTGGCTTTCAGACAAATGAAGAACGGAATAGCAGCACGACCCGACAACATACCAACTGAAGCACTGAAGCCGGACATCGAATTAACTACAAAAATGCCTCACCTTCTATTCAGGAAAATTTGGGAGGAGGAACGAATGCCCATGGACCGGAAAGAAGGATACCTCATCAAGATTCCAAAAAAAGAAGATCTGAGCAAGTGTGAAAATCACAGAGTCATTACACTACTGTCGGTGCCAGGGATAGTCTTTAACAGAGTGTTGCTGAACCGGACTAAAGATGCAGTAGACGCCCAACTTCGAGATCAACAAGCTGGATTCCATAAGGATCGATCGTGCACAGACTAAATCGCGACACTATGGATCGTCGTTGAACAGTCAGTTGAGTGGAGCTCGTCACTATACATCAACTTCGTTGATTATGAAAAGGCATTTGACAGTGTAGATAGGAAGATGTTATGGAAACTTCTTCGACACTATGGAGTTCCTGAGAAGGTTGTCAACATTATCTGGAACTTATACGACGGACTGCAGTGCAAGGTCGTGCATGGAGGACAGCTTACAGGCGCATTCCAAGTCAGACAAGGCTTTCTACTCTCCCCCTTCCTCTTTCTTCTGGTGGTCGACTGGATTATGAAGACCTCGACATCTGAGGGAAACACGACATATAAACGACAGCTCAGAACGAATTAGACGATCTGGACTTCGCAGATGACCTAGCCCTCCTATCACGTACACACGAACAGATGCAGATGATGACAGCCAGTGTAGCAGCAGTCTCTGCATCAGTAGGCCTCAGCATACACATGGGGAGAACCAATGTCCTCAAATACAACACGGAGAACAGCAATCCAATCACTCTTGATGGCGAAACTCTGGAACATGTAGAATCCTTCACATACCTGGCAAGCATCATCGATGAACAAGGAGGTTCTGATGCAGACGTAAGGGCGAGAATTGGCAAAGCAAGGGACGCATTTCTACAATCAAAGGACATATGCAACTCAAAACAACTTCTAACTGATATCAATGTCAGAATCTTCAATAAGAACGTCAAGGTAGTTCTACTGTACGAAGCTGAAATTTGGAGAACTACTACAACCATCATCAAACATGTACAAGTATTTATAAATACTTATCTACGCAAGATACTCAACATCCATTGGCCGGATGCCATCAGCAACAACCTTTTATGGGAGAGAGCAAATGAGCTTCCAGATGAAGAAGAAATTAAGAAAAGACGACGAAAATTGATAGGAAATACATTATGCAAATCATCAAACTGTATCATGAGACGATCCCTAAGTTGGTATCCTGAAGAGAAGCAGAAAAGAGGAAGGCAAAAGAACACATTACGTCGGATAATAGAAGCATATTTGAAAAGGATGAATAACAACTGGAAGGAGCTGGAGAGGATTGCCCAGGACAGGGTTGGATGGAGAATGCTGGTGAGCGGCCTATGTTCCTTCACGAGGAGTAACAGGCGTAAGTAAGTAAGTAAGTAAGTCTCTTATTGGTAAATGTGCATACTCTGAGATACAGGTGGACTTGGATGAATTCTATAAACAAGCTTATAATCATTATGTTAATCATTAGAGTGACCAAGATCGATTATTTGTTCAATGGTAGAAACCCTTAATTTCTTTCCTATCACCTTTGTAGAACAATAATTTAGTAAATTGTCAAATCATCGCTGTAAATAATCTCTAGTTATGTCCTGTTTATCTTGTTACACAACAGCTTATGAATTGGTAGATTTGTGTAGATGTGCCTTGACGATAAAGCTTACCATTCACAGACTTTTGATTAAGATCGCGAATAAGTAAATGTTAGACCCTTATTGAGAAACTAGATGGTCATTTCGTCTTAGTATGAGACTCCTCAATGGTGAACATCCGTGATCCCGCATGTTGTATTCGAAACAAGGATCTTCGATCTCTCTCGTAAACGTGAGGTTTTCAACGGTGATCAAACATTGATTCATTCATGATCTCAATCAAAACTCAACAATCTCCACGACCATATACTAATAATTTACAGATCAGCCTCATGGAATATGGTTTTAATAACTGTTGATCGCCGATTTGTAAGTACATCAGATGACTTGTCAGCTTTAAATTACACATTCTTAAAAAAGTACTTGCTACAACTAAAATGAAATAACAAGCAAGCATAATTTCTTGTCCAATTCAATAAAATCCAATTATAGAGGTTGTTTAACTGGTCGTTTCATTGTTTACTTTCAATAAATCGAACTCATTAAACATCCATTACTCATTCTTATCACACCAACATAAAAAAATCAGACTGAATGACAAAGTTTTTTTTACACTGACATCCACAGATGGATTTCAACTAATGAAATGATGCAGCATCTCATATCCTGATCATATTTTAAAGAAAATCATATTGATAACCAAACTGAACCAACTTCCTTTCATCTCAGAAACGGAACCCATCGATTAGAATTGGAGAAAACCAACATCGCATTGCGACTCTGTCCTTGCTCTCTCTCTGTGTAGGCTTTCATGTATATGCGAATTTCAACATAGCAATAGTTATTTTAAAGGGTTCAGTCAGGAAGCCGTCATCTATATCATTAAACATCGTAATATGGATCAATATGTAGCAAATAGTTTGAGTAAATGGTACACTAGTACAGTCAACTAGGATTAATATCAAGTGGGAACGTGAATTTTCTGTGAGCATCAATATAGATAATACCATCAATAAAGTGGAAAGTATGATAAAGAGAATATATAGAAGTTATACAATCTTTTATTATTATTCGTCACACTGAATAATCTACTTATTACATCATCATGATTATTTGTTACACGAGATTACTATTACTACTACTACAACTACTATTATACAACTGTTACTACTACCATACTACTTCGACTACTACCACTATACTACTACTTCTAATACGACTATTACTACTACTATTATTACTACTAATACTACCATACTACTACTACACTACTACTACTACTACCACTAGTCATAGACTGTAGTTGTTTTCATTTTGTGTGTTATCAACTAAAGACTTCAAACCGTCGCGTGAACATCGAATTTTCTGCAAAACTGGTGTTCTCATCGACTTACTTTAAATTAATTTTTCTTGTATTATGTAGGTGAACCTGAATCAATGTTCATCTATTATGAAAAAGAAAAGATTCTTAGCAATTCTTACATAAGCAATAGCAAGAGTGACATTCTCTGGAAATGTCTCATTTATCTTCTTTACAAAACAAATTAATAATGCGATCACAAGTGCAATCAACCTACAAAATAGAACAGAAATAAACAAAAGTGATATATATGATCAGAAAAGGGTTTTTATAGATATTACAGTAATTTATTCCTTGAATTCATAAGTCGATTGAAGCTAGATCGCCATGGAAATACATGGAAGTAATGGACGGTCGTTTCAATTTAGTATAGGACTCCTCGGTAGAGCGCATTCAAGATCACACCTCTCAAGATCCGAACCAACAACCTATCGGTCTTGCATGTGAACGCTTAACCTATAGACCATTGAGTCGGCCGGCATCCAACAATGGTAATGTCTAACTTCAACTAATCCACGAAATCGCATCACTGTTCACCATTGTCTTCAGCGATTTACTATTTCACCCTATAGATCCTGGGTTTGAATCATGCGAGTTGGGATCGTGGATGCGCACTGCTGGGAATTTTCACGCTAGGTCAAAACGGTCATCTAGTGCCTCAAATGACTCATTATCTCAATCACTGAAATGACTATAATATCCACAAAATAGTCCTTCTGATATTACTCTTTCTTTTTGTTATACTGTTGACCATTCATTATTAGTATAAGTGGATTCTAAGCAGATCGTACTACTATTAAGTTACAGATTTATTGTAAATGATAAGAAAACGTTAGTAGTTTGATGTAAAGAGTACACAATGGTTTTCATTTATAGAATGGAATGTAGTACTTATGACTGCTGGACACAATGCGAACTTAATGGTGAGACTATAATTTATGGATGAACCAATCATACATAAGATAACAGATTTTGGATTTTGACGCGAAATTCACTCATCTATCTGACCAAATAGAGTTTTGGTATTATAACTGATATCAGTTCGTAACGAAAACCCTAAATTTAATTCAATACGTTGGTTTATAACTCACATTCATTCTTAGTTATTAGGTGGATAGTCTCAAGATCCTTTACATATATGGGTAACATCATTGATGAACATGGTGGATCTGATGCAGATGTGAAGTCGCGGATCGGCAAAGCAAGAGCAGCATACTTACAACTGAAAAACATCTCGAACTCAATATAACATTAAGATAGTTCTACTGTATGGGGTGGAAACTTGGAGAACGACGAAAGTCCCTACAAAACACTTCGGATCCGTTTGCCAGACACTATTAGCAACAACTTAATGTGGGAGAGAACAAACCGGATTCAGGAGAAGGAAGAAATCAGCAAGAAGTGCTAGAAGTGGATAGGATGCTCATTGAGGAAAGCACCCAACTGCATCGCAAGACTAGCTCTCACGTGGAATCCTTAACGTCAAGTGAGAAGAGGAAGACCAAATAACAGATTACGCTGAAAATGGAGTCGAACATGAGAAGAATGAACAACCATTGGATAAAACAAGGTAGAATATTTCATGACAGATCGGGTTAAAGAGTGCTGGTCGGTAAAGGGCTAAAGTAAGTAGGTAAGTATACATGCAATAGTCCTTAGGTCACTCTAGCGTCACACAAAAGTTCTCAATAAATTATGGTCTCATCAAAATAACCTTAAAAAAGACAAAGACTTCAATGAAACGATCTACTAATATAATAACATTAGCATGACAATGTAAATCAATATTCAAACCCTAAATGTATTATAATGATCAATTCGCAATTATACAATATGAATAATGAAGTAACAATAAAATCAATAAATGTAATTACAATGATTATGTCATCAAAAAACTTTACGTATATTACATACACAAATAAACCAGTAACCGTTGTCTGTATTAATAGCTCAATTGAAAAATTTGACTGATAACTATGGAAACAAAACAAAACAAAAATGAGAACATTTATTGATCAAACTATTTACGATAATGACATGAATAATATGACAATCAATGTGAATAAAATTTGTGCTATAAGAATCATTAACACCTATAAATGGGAATGATTTTATGATTGATGAAGGATAATCTACCATTAAGGCATATGTGGATACAATTAGTAAACGATTAACAAGTTCCATCTGATTCATCATGTTGATTCCATCAATGGAATTCCATTCAAGATTTTCAATCATGACAAGCAATACTTCCAAAGTTGTTTCCTAGAATAAACAATAAATTATCATATGAAAGTTTCATCATAAATGTGATGGATGACTAAGTGTATTATAATGAATGAGAAAACAGGCGTATACAACTAAATCCTTTAAAAGGGTGTGGGTGAAGGTAGTGTGTGCTGTTGATGTCTACATATATAAGTAGTCTGTGCCAGTAACCGGAAGTGAAATATCTGGAGGCAGAGGGTTAAGAAAATAAAAGAGATAAAGAACAGAGAATGATTGGTATGCAAACGAAGGCACAATAACGACTAAATACACTGCATAAAATCACAAAAACAGCGAGATTATCATTGATGGACGAATCAATCAGATTTAGGATAATGGGTCTTGCATTTGAGCGTGGAATTCAAACATCCACTTGTCTGAATAACGTTTTCACATGTTAACTAATGTGAGTACTTGATGAAAAGCCGAAATCCACATCCTGACAATAAATCAACTCTAAAGAATTAGTCTCATCCATCATATTGAAGTAATAATCTTCATTTAGTCCTAGATTAATAGATGGATATACTGAAGGTCAATTCTCATATGGTAACGTTGACAAGAGTATGTGAAAATGTTATGTACATAGGTATGACAATGCATGACTAGCTGTTCTAAAGCTACGATGGTTCGTTCAATGGAATATTCATTCAATGATGGAAGTTGAAAATTTGAATTAATTTTCGGCGAGACTACAATCAATGGACGACCTTTAAGTGAAGCTGAAGTGACCTTGAGACATACCACTGAATAACTAGAACCACGTGAAGATTGTAAACCAGTGTGAGTAAATGTAATTTTGCTTTACATTTGATGGTCAAGGTTAGGGATTGGATTTAGGTTTTTCATGATGAAATGAAATCAGCTGTAATGCGAAAACCATATTTTGCCAAGTAGGTGAGTGAATTTCGCGCCAAAATCCGAGATCTGTTATCTTATACGTGATTGATTCGTCCACAAATTATAGTCTCGCCGTACGTTTCAATTGTGAATAATGTAAATGATTTTTATCATTACAAATATGATCTTACTTGTGTTTAGAATTGGATAATTTACGTATGGCGTTTCTACTCGACGGAATCAAATGACAAAATGTACTTGTACGTAATCTGCAGTAAACTGAGAAGCTTGTTGAATTCGATTGTTGATAAGATTCTGTATGTTTGTTTATTCATTTCAATAGACTACCAATAATTATAATTTATGTAATTCACTTGACACTATTCGTTGTGTAGTCTCATTGGATAGATAGACATATTGTACAAGGAGTTTGATCTCTAAAAACAGTTTACGCAGTGTAGTCATAGAGTACAAATGCGATTTGACAGAAAACCGTTATTATTATGTTTATTTATTGGAAAACATAAATATCGGTAGAAGGAGCAATCGAATGGATGTGCGCCATACGAATCAATCGATTTGTATGCAGGCTAGAGTACAGCGCTGGTGCCCAAATCGAAGCACGTGATTTTCTTACAGAGCCACACGCAGAGCGCCGCACATTCATTTCGATCTCCCAATTTTGTAAATGACATCTCATTGGCAAGGAGGCAGTGGGTAGGCTATGTGAGACGTTCGAGAGCGGAAGCTAACTGTCCCAATCCTCGGCCTTACCATGGCATTTCGCATAGGTTATTGATGAATGATGAATGATACAGGAATACTCCATTTAATATAGCATATAAAGCCAGATCATGAAATGAATTGGTTGTGTAAGTTGATTATATACTAGTAGAAACATGAATGAGAATGATGTACTCGTTGGAAGCAAACTTCGTTTTCTACTTCTGGATGCCAGCTTAGTGGCGTGGAGAATAAGAGTTCGCATGCGAGACAGAGTGGTCCTGCGTTCGAATCTCACGGGGCGAGATTGTGGATGCGTCTTCCTAAACAATATCACACTAGGACGAAACGGTCCTTTAATGTATCGGGGTATTCCATACTGGTCTAGCTTCAATTGACTTATACATTCAACTGTCAAATAGGTGTAAGTTGATGATTAATCACTGAAAATGTTTAACAAAAATTCAAAGTAACTCCGGTACTGTAATGTTCGTGTGATTCTAGTATAAGCTGTATCTGATTCATAACCACATCACCTGCTGTTTTATGATGTTTCAAGTAAAAAAAATATAGTTATTCACAAACGCATATTAAAGAACGATAAGAATGACAAACCACACGATTGAACAATCACAACATAGTAGTGTGCTACAATAGGCTCTGACGTAACACCTCACATACTAGAGCAATGGTTATATGCAGCAAACGTTTCTCTCAATATTCCATCTGAAATAAAATGTGACATCAATGTCCCGAGAAAAATCCAATGCCATGGTGTTCAAGATGATGAATCGCTCTAACATGGGCGTTACACTTAGACAGATCAAACTGGAGGAATAGATGCTAAATTGCCTTTTATTACCTTCTGTCTAAACCTTTCTCAACATCTTACAATTCACAAAAGCCCTTTATTCGTTTCCGATAGTGTATTCTCATATGGAATGATAGACCTATGTGAAGAATACAAGTAATCGAAATGATTGACTATCTAGTAATAGTCAAAACTGATCAATTACTGCATTTCCCATTCTTATCCTAATCAGTATCCACGTTTTGCAGTACAATTGACGATATTATATTCAGAATAATTAACGTTACATGGAAACATGAAAATGTTCTTCCCTCGATGAATAGCGGATGAAAGAATTGTCTATGTAGTAGATTGCTGTTCCAGGATGATATACATCAGACGTTATTCTTAACCGTGATATGTCACCTATAATAATAATAACAATATTTGTTTAGATATTGTCAACAAACGTAAAGACTGAATTTTTCAGTATTACGTATCTTATTGTTAATTATTCTATATTATTGTGAAGTACATATTCAATATGAAATTCTTCGATTCTTAGAAGATGGCGAATATTAGGCAGGCTGTGTAAGATAATTCATAAATATTATGTGAATGTACATGAAACTTCGTTCACGTACTCACGTAAAAGTATCACTCTTGATCCATTCAGCTGTACATTATATCGATCTTCAGATCCCAGATGCGACGTTTCTTCCGAATTTTTATGATTGGTGTGAACTAGATCAATGTCGTATTTCTTGATGTTCTTGTTATAACAAATGTCATGTTGGTTCTTTTCCTATATGAAAGAATAGTTTCACGATATTTAGGCATCGAGTTAATGGAAGGCATTAAAGAAGTAGAATTTACTCAAAATTCAATCGAAGTGAGTTCAGAAATATGTATACTACCTCCTTAATATATAATGTTTACTTGTTCATTGAAACATACTTTCACATCTGGAAGCACTCATTGTAGTGATAAATTAAAATATCACATATTGGACAAACTGAATATCAAGTATCTTGAAAATATGTGATAATATTGGAGTTGGCTCACTTGCATTTTCTACTCTCCCCTTTTTTGTTCAAACTGCTTAACCACTTCCCATTCTTAATGTCTGTCTGGATAAACGATTGCTTGAGACTTATCCCTACAACGTAACCTAAATTTGGCTTCTTAGTACCACTGTCACACAAATAGGGTTGGCTATATCTCCCTCTCCATATGCTCTCACATGGCCATGAGTTTACAGAAACTGCATGGTAAGTCCTGATCACTCACACAACGAGTGTTGTTTACGAAGTTGAGAGGACGAGAAGAGAATATCCAGTGCTCTAACCGGGTTGGTGGATATAGAGGAAGTCGGGAAACCATCAATCCAAGCAAATGATGAGCATTGGATCTGGGATTTTGTGAGAAAAAGTCCGCCTTCGGCTACCAAAGGGTTACATCTCCTGACACTGCTTCACTGACTTGTGGACCACATCTTTAGGTGAAACGCTCCTGATGTGTCCCTCTAAGAAAAAACCTGCTTCCATCTGGGCACCCGGATAGTACTGTAGTGAATAAGAAAAAAATGGTGGCATTCTAATACACATTAACACGAAACTACAGAATATCTTATCAAAATCTGAGAACTATACAATCAATACTTTATTTCCAAAATATCAATCTGTTTTCTCATACTTGGTTGTTTCATTGAAAATATCATTCCATCCTCTCAGTTTTCATTGCTCATGGAATTTCATATCAATTGCGTTCCGTTCTCATTATTTCCTTCTAGATTTTCTACTGAAATACATTCTATTCCTGACTATCGTTATGCACTACGAACATGAGCATAAGTAGGTCATACCACAGCATCACAACCCAAATATAAATCAAGTGCCTTGTGTGGCGTATGCCTATTCAGTACCGCCTTTGTACAAATATTTATGTGTTCTATCAATTGGCATTTCTTTTACTCTATGACAACAATCGACAAACTGTTTCAGCATGTTTGTAATGATCCTACTCATTGTTCAATTTGTCTATCTATCCAATTAGATCACGTAACGAATAGTGTCAATTAAATGAACCAGATAATTCACAATGATTGGTAGTCTATGGAAGTGAATAAACAAACATACAGAATCTAATCAACAATCGAATTCAATAAGCCTCACAACTAGCTGACGATTGAATACAAGTACACTATTCTAAACACAAGTAAGACAATATTTGTAATAATCATGAGAGTAATCACTCACATCATTCACAATTGAAATAAACTTCAATTTCTCTACTATCATCATTGAATGAATATTCCATTGAACGAACCATCGTAGCTTTCAAACTGTTAGTCATGTATTATGTCATACCTATGTACATAACATTTACACATACTCTTGTCAACGTTATAAAATGAGAATTGACCTTCAGCATATCCATCTATTAATCTAGGACTAAATGAAGATTATTACTTCAGTATGATGGATGAGACTAATTCTTTAGAGTTGATTTATTGTCAGGATGTGGATTTCGGCTTTTCATCAAGTACTCACATTAGTTAACATGTGAAAACGTTATTCAGACAAGTGGATGTCTGAATTCCACGCTCAAATCCAAGACCCGTTATCCTAAATTTGATTGATTCGTCCACAGGTTATTATGTTGATGTTTATGTGATTTCAGGAAATATGTTTTTTCTTCATAGGTACTTCGCTTTTTCATCGAACACTCTCTGTTATCATTCTCGTTTCTTCTATTTAATCTCCTTGACTTTCTGTCGCTATACACTTCACTTTCAAATAATGATACATACTACATCGACATCAGTATCGTACACCACACTCATCCTCACCCCTTTAAAATAATTTAATTATAACCTCCTGCGTTCTCATTCATTACAGTATATTTAGTCATGCATCGAATTTGTGATGAAACTTTCATATGATAATTTATTGTTTATTCTAGGAAACAACTTTGGAAGTATTGCTTGTCATGATTGAAAATCTTGAATGGAATTCCATTGATGGAGTCAACATGGTAGATCAGATGGAACATGTCAATCGTTTACTGGTTGTATCGACATACACTAAATTAGTAAATTGTGTTTTATCATTGAATGTTATTCACAATGATAGGTGCTTATACTTGTTGCAATACAAATATCGGTAACATTGTTTGTTTTAATGATCTTGTCAGTACTGTAATTTACATAACCAATAATAATAATAATATTCGTCTATATTGTAGTAGGATAAAATTTCCATATGGCGCGCAATTGATACCATCAATTATTTCTGGTTTGTTCTTGTATGTCATATCATTTTTATGTTACAAATTATTGATAACCTGTTTAATAATTTACTTGAAAGTAAGATGGTGAATGAATATTTTGATTAAGTGCACGGTTACCTAATTAGTTACTTATGCTTATTACCCTTCGTCGAGTAGTACTTAGTAGTTTTATAAAAAGACCTCTTAATAATCTTGTAGGATTGGAAGATAAACAAGTTACATCAACAATAGCAACATATGGTACTTTTAATGATAACGAAATCGAAACTGAAAATATCAAAATATCAATATGGGGTTTTGGAGACGATTACGTTTTTCATAGAGTTCATGATGAACACGTTAGATTTCCATGGAAAACCTGGAAGCATAGGCCGAGCGTTTTTTCTATTGTGGGACTCCTCAGAAGTGAGTATCCACGATCATGCGCGAAAGCTTAAGCTGTAGACCACTGAGCCGGCCGGCGTACATCTATTTTAATATATAACCTAAATCAATCCGCGACATCAAGTGACCATCTTCCAATCTACTGTGTAGATACCTGTCTTTCTGCGTTACGGATTAGCTACACTGGTCATGGATTGTTTGAAGTTGGACATTTTTCTTACCTACATCATGATATGTCATACAAATACACCTTGACTAAAATGAACCTGATGCTGACACATTCAGACCTATTATGATATTATTGGATTAAAACGACTTCTGAATTGTTTCTTCTGTACTATTTCAACGTGTGTTAATCCTATTTCGGTTATTTGTTTGCTCTGAAGAGATGGCTCAAAGTAACGAAACATAAGAAGTACAATTTTCTACTCATTAGCATATAACAAAACATGTGCTGAGAATTCTATATTGTACCAAAAAGATAATATTGAATAAAGCCATTAATAATAATAATAATGTGTGTTTCGAATACATAAAATAAACTGGTTACCATGTACATCAGGATTTTGTATTTCAATAATTAACGTTCTTAATATGTAAATGACACAATTTACTTTAATAGAATGTTTTGATTATTGTGTGGATGTGTGTATGCGAATAAAACGATCAACTATCATCCTCAAATTGTTATTTTTCAGCATGTTGTGAATTGCTTACTTATATACGTATATAGTAAGGCTGATCTGTACGAGTTGGAGTAGTCAACACCACTCTCAATCCTTCTCTTTTACCCGGATTTGAGACCGACAGCAGCCTTAGAAGAGTTACAGTCGGAGTTTAAAAAGTTATGCTCAATAGTTATTTCTGTTTTCTATTGTAGTTTGATTGCACTTGTGGTATTCTTTTTGATTGCCTTCGTGAAGAAAATAGATGACAATTATCTACTAAATCTCGCACTTGTAATTGTTTACGTAAGAATTTCTGATATTCTTTTCACATTTACTTTGTTAGTCTGTTTAACATAATCCAATATAATCAAAGGTATGTAAGTGAGAGTAAGAGTACTGCTTGTAAATAATGATCAGATGTGACTGAAAAGGTTTTGGAAAGCGAAATCCTGACCGATTTAAATCTCCGATCTGTTGAGATAGACATATGAGGGATTTCACTCATAGGCATTGTTACGGGAGAATCGAGAACATTTTGCTGAATAAAACCTTTTTGTTGTATGTTAATAAATTTACTGTGTTTTCGGGTGTATTTGTTTTAATTTCAACAGTTGAGATCATGAGTCGATTGAAGCTAAACCACTATGGAAAACCTGGAAGCACTGGACGGCCGTTTCGCCCAATTTAGTGACCCTTCACCAGCGCGAATCCATGACTCCACCTCGCGGGATTCAAACCCAGGACGTATCAGTCTCGCGTCAGGCGCTTAACCAACTAGGCCACAGAGGCGTCCAGTACTTCCAGGTTTTTCATGGTGGTCTGGCTTTAATTGACTCATAAACATAACTGTCGAAATTAGTACAATCTCCACAAATCCTCTTTTGGAATTTGTTGCACTTACCTTTTGAAGTCGTTTATGTCGTTATTTTCGGACATTTCGATCTCTCTTTGTCATGGGTATGGTATTTCGCTCCGTGAACTTACAAAATTGAAGGTTTGTTTTGTAATTGTTATATTTATTGCTGTAAGAACGATATTTGAGTCGAATATTTGTGAATTGCGAATGAGCTTTGGCATCTGAATTGGAATTTGGTTTTATTGTTAATTTGGGTTCGTAAATTACAAGTAGATCGATATACCGTACTTCACTGAAGGGAACGAGCAAAAACGTGGACATGACAGGCATAGTACTTCTGTAAGTTATGAAATGAAGAATAACGTGCATACCAAGATAACCTAATTTTGAATGTGGGAAAAGGAATCACATTTAGTCAGTTTCACCTTCTTGATATAAGTTAAATTTATTTAAAGTGAGACAAAAAGAACGCTAGATTCTGACTAGTGTTGAGATGTTGGTTGTCACCGGTTCCAGTGTTTTGTTTCACGTCTAAAGTGGAAGAGAGTTGATTCATCTCGGTTATCAATCTACGATGCTGCAGCATCTATTTGTGCATATCAGTGTAGAAGGAGATTTGTGTCATTCTTTCTGATTTCTCGATCTGAGTGTGATGAGAATGAGTACTGAATGTCTAATGAATTAATTGATTACTCAGGCACCCAAAGGCCTTATAGGTGCCTAAGAGGTTCCATATAATCAGTATAGGATGAAGCTATTTATAATATCAACGTGGCATGCTAGTATTGGACAGTATCATAATATGCTGAACTATAATGTTCATACAACAAACGCTAATGTCTATAAATACCCACGACGTTTCCTACATTTTGGTTCTTACTCAACAAATGCTTCTCCAGTTTTTCTCTGTTTTGTGATTTGAGACTGTGAGGGTTCTATACTTCCTAGTTTCTCAGTTGTATACGGCATTCTGCGTTAATCGAGTAGCGATCATAACACTCATCTCTACACTCACTCCTTAAATCATTCTGTCAGCTATTCTCAACATTCACACGATTATTCAGTTGTAAATTTTTCATCCTACAAGTCATTTTATTTACGCCCATCCCGTACAAGTTGCATAACAATTTATGGCTATCTCATATGCTATATCACGTAGTATTATAATCTTATTATCACATCGTCATGCCCAACACATCATTCACACTTTCTCACAGAATTATGTGAATACGTACCTAATCTTGGTGATCAATCCATTGCAGAATTAATAGATCTGTTAATTGAAGTTCATTTTCTCAATGTCTAAATTAGAGTTGTGATTGTGGAGATTATTACGTTTTTGATTGACCTCATGAAGCGATTGATGTTAGACCACAATTGAAGTCCTGGAAACACTGAACGGCAACTTAATTGTACTGTGAGACTCCACAAGAGTGCTCATACACGATACCGCTCGCGTGATCCAAGCCAAGGCTCTATCGGTATCGTGCGCGAACGCTTAAACTCTAGAACACTGAGCCGCTGTTTAACAGTGTTAATGTCTAACCGCAAGTGCTTTCGAAGAATAAACTTTCGAAACATCAGTGAAACGTATCGTTTTAAACTTGAAGTGGTCATTTTCAGAAAAAGAACTCATTGTTACGTCCAAGTTTTGCTCGTTTCAGTTATTGAAGTACGGACTATCGATCTACTCGCAAATTACGAACCCAAATTAACAACAGAACCAAGTCCCAATTTAGATACCAAGTTTATTCGTAATTCACAAGTAATCGACCAAATGTCGTTCTAATAACAATAATTATAACAATTACAAAACAAACCTTCAATTTTGTAGGTTCCCGGAGCAAAACTCCCAATTACCAAACCAAAGACAAAAAGAGCACCAAAATACCAAACCAAAGACAAACCAAAATGTCCGAAATAATGATATAAACAAACAAGTTCGAAAGTTAAGTAAAACAATTACATCCAAAAGCACAGTAAATTATTAATGTACAATAAAAGGTTTTAATCCGTCAAAAGTCTTCAGTTCTCCCGTAACACTCCCGACCAAAAGAACCTTGGTTCTTTTCACAGACAAATAAATAGACAACAAGAATCCAAATATATGCATCACAAACAATCAACAACAAACACTCAATATACCAACAATCTCGTGATCCCTAGGACTTACACCAGTACGCCTAGGGATCCGAGTAGCTACCTAATATCTACAACTTCTAGACGCAGTTTTCTAATATCTCTTATCAAGATCCCTACGCTTGTCCGCAACTCCATCGGTCTTAACCTATCACTATTAGGTATCATTTTCATTACCAGACCTAATAACCATTTGTCTTTCTCTAAAAACCCAGTACATGTCGTCACCAAGTTACTCTCTCCTATGTTCATCTCTGGTTGAGTCCATCTGTGTCTAAGTTGCAACAATGAAACATATTCCTTAGACAAACGTTTCCAAAATATTTGCGCCAACATAAACAATCGCAATATCAACCATCTAACAAAATGCTTCATCCTCCATAGAAGCTCATACACGCTAACGTAAATATGGATATATAAACACATATAGAGGACCAATCCATTAATTCCTTTATTTACCGCGAACTCTTTATTCTGATTCCAAATCGTAACATTGTTGGATCCTTCTAGTTCTTTTAGAAAATGAATAACCATAACACATGGCTTCAGGCACCATTGCATATTCACACACAAACAACTATTCGAGTCCGCAGAACATAAAGCCCATCTTCCAATCATCATTGGATTTAAAGTTCGTAACGGTGAATTCGTTATCTTCACCTTGCTAATGGTATCAGACGATAACATTTCAATCTCTTTCCGAAATACTATGCGTTGGACATATAGAATTAAATCTAAACAAGCGAAATTTAACTCATCAAATCTAAGCATACCCACCTGTTGAGACAGATCAGTTCTACCAGAACGCATTACCAGTAAATATCGCTTAAATCGGGTTAACCATGCAACAGCCTTAAGTAATTTAGTATAATCTGAATAGTAATTAATAAGTTGATCAACAGTGGATTTTTCAGCCATTACATGCGCCGACATTGCCTTCTTTACTTCCAATAGATGAGGGTCAGGACCTTGTACATCAGCGGCAGGCCAACACTCCTTCGGCTTCTTGAGAAAACGTGGACTTTCCTCCCATACCTTGACATCATCAATGTCAAACTTGACCCCTCTGGATGCCAAGTCTGATATGTTTTCTTTAGAAGGTACGAATCTCAATTGGTCCACCTTAGTAAGACTCTGAATAGTCGAAATTCGATTTGCTATGAATGTTTTAAACTGGCTTTTCTCATTTCTAATATAGTGTAAGACAATCATAGAATCCGTCCAAAAATTAACCTCTGCCAACTTAATACCTAATTCTGACTGCAGCTGGGATCCCATGCGAGCTGTCAAAACTGCTGCTGTAAGTTCCAAGCGCGGTATAGCTTGGACCTTCGAGGGGGCTACTCTTGCCTTATCCGTTCGTCGTATATCACCGTCTCCCCACCACAATAGACGAAATGCTCCCCTGTCTTGTCTCGGAATCTTTATTTGAAGAAACATCTCTTCGATATCAGCAGCTAATGCTACGTTACCTAATCTGAATCGTAGAAGTACACCAATTAAACTATTTACAGTATTCGGTCCTCTCAAAAGCTGGTCATTAAGATAACAACCTTGATAGACAGCCGCACAATCAAAAACAATTCTCAATTTTCCAGGCCTTTTAGGGTTGATAACAGGATGATGAGGAATATACCAACAAACAGCATCATAGTCAAATCCCTCTTCACTAGCTTCAATGATATAGCCCTTTCTTAAATGTTTATTCACCACTTGATATTTCTCCAAAAGACTGTTATCTTTCATAAACCTCCTCCTTAAGCATTCCAGTCTGCGGCTAGCTAGTTCCAAATTATTTGGTAGCCTTGGCTTATCATACTTCCATGGTAGACCAACTTGGAAATGACCACCCTCCAATCTAAACGAACTGCTAACTATTTCTAGAGCTTTTTTATCTTTGACAGGATATCCATTACGAAACTTATTTGTATCCTCGAACTCATGATCATATAATCTTCCTAAATCTCGCAAAATATCATTAGTGGAACAATGACACCACTGAACTTGATGTAGAGACCTTGATACTCCCTTAGGACCTATAATCATCCAACCAAGATGAGTACGCACAGCAAACGGATGCTTCCTGTCCCCCAGACGTTGTTCCAGGACCCAATGTGCATCCGGAGCATCACACCCAATCAATATTCCTACATAATTACTTTTCAACTTCGGAAGGGTTATGTCCTTTAGATGTTTCCACCGTTTCAGTTGGAGTTCGGTTAAAGGTGTTGCATGATCGATCGGAAGTTTCTTGGTCGTGTAAACTTTGTTGATCCTTACAGAACCCCGTTCATCTAATGAAAATACCTCTAAATATACCTCCAAACAATCACAATTGGTAGTTCCGTTCACAGTCGCCACCCTTATCGAAGTCTCTTTACCTTTGATACCCAACTGGTTAATTAATTCTTCACATACAAGAGAAGTGTCCGAACCACTATCTAGAAGTGCATAAGTTTCCAAACATCCTTTGGGACCGTATAGTCTGACTGGAACGATCCCCAAACAAACCTTTGAAGAGTCCCAATCCTTAGCTAGGTTCACCACATGGTTATCAATACTATCAATATGCAATAATGAATTATGCCTAACCTTGCAATTCTCAACGTCGCACTTGATGCCTGAGTTGCATGTCATAGCTATGTGACCTTTCCTCAAACATAAGTAACATAGACCACGTTTTCTTACCTCCTGCCTCCTTTCTTTTACATTCATTTTTGCTAACCTTGGACAATCTGTCGCCTCATGATCACCTACGCAGATTTCACAACGTGATACCTTGACTGAGCTATTTGGGTCTCGTCTAATTGCATGAAAGCGTGATATCCTATCAGCTTGTCCTTCAGAATTCCTTTTACCGAACCTTGAGTTACACTGTACTAATCTACCATAACGGGTTCGGGCAATTCTGGCCCTCTCTTCTACAAAGACCACAAATTCTTCAAAGCTTGGCTCCTTCCCATACATCATGATCTTATCGGCGACTTCCACCCACTTATTCTGCAATTCTAGTGGTAGGCAAGAAACTATTACCTCCAAATTAGCTGTAGAATTAACGTCAGACATATATCCCATTTGCTTCAACGTTATACATACATTACGCAACTTAATCGCAAAGTCAGATAATACGTCAGCCGATCCTCCGACAGGTTTATGGTTTAGTAACTCAATAATTAGTTCTCGTGCAACAAGATGTTCTTTACCAAATAAATCATACAAAATCTGTTTAGCCCTATCATAACCCAGATGAATGGGCAATGAGATGCAAGCTTCAATAGCTGTCCTGGCCTTTCCCTTACAATAGTATAACAAATACGACAACAATTGGCCCTTATCTGACACTTTACTCTCTATGAGGCTATTAAACTGACTAATGAAACGGTAATACTGACCCGGTTGCCCATCAAAGTACATCATATCGATCTTAGGTAAAACCATGTTACTAACCATTGTATGTAACGTATCCTTCAGTTCCTCAACCCAATCAATTTTTGAGATGTTACATACCTTCTCTGAATGATCATTACACCCAGTATCATAATCCAAATAATTTTTCACTTTAGCATTTATCCCACATTTATCTACGGGTAATCGTTCATCGTCCTCAATGGCCTTGCATTCTAGTTCGGCGATATCAACCTCCTCTTGTAGATCTAACATCTTAAGTTGCCGTTCTAATTCAAGTCTCTTCTCTAAATTCCTTTTCCTCAGTAATGCTTTATCTAACTTTAGTCTAGAAGTACTTAGCTGGCTAGAGGACATACTATTAAGACTAACATCATCACGTTTATCATCATTAACATCAGACATACCACAAACAGCTTTGGAAGTTTTACCATCCATTTCGTCATTTTCCTTCAGCCTTCTGCTCCGTGTTTCCATCGTTATCGTTGTTCCGAATAATCAATCACCAAAACAAATCCGAATTAATCCAAACGAAATCCACCAATAAGACCAGGAATTTGGACCCAAAATATCCAGAAAATCCAAGGTATGAACACAGAACCAATAATTGAAGAACTTTATGTTACGTCCAAGTTTTGCTCGTTCCAGTTATTGAAGTACGGACTATCGATCTACTCGCAAATTACGAACCCAAATTAACAACAGAACCAAGTCCCAATTTAGATACCAAGTTTATTCGTAATTCACAAGTAATCGACCAAATGTCGTTCTAATAACAATAATTATAACAATTACAAAACAAACCTTCAATTTTGTAGGTTCCCGGAGCAAAACTCCCAATTACCAAACCAAAGACAAAAAGAGCACCAAAATACCAAACCAAAGACAAACCAAAATGTCCGAAATAATGATATAAACAAACAAGTTCGAAAGTTAAGTAAAACAATTACATCCAAAAGCACAGTAAATTATTAATGTACAATAAAAGGTTTTAATCCGTCAAAAGTCTTCAGTTCTCCCGTAACACTCATACCCTCAGTAAACATTACTATCAGCAATTATATACAATGCAAGCACAGATGGATGAATATATTTTCCATTAAAACTATGATATTCTTTCTCATTTTCAGTCTATCTGCATGGCAACAGCATTAGGAGTTTTGACTACACAGCTAAATCCTCAAGTCAAACTTGCAGTCTTTGGAATCAGTTTGGTGTTATTCGCATGTGCATTACTGTTTGGTGCAGCGATTAAAACAGATTTATTTGATCACCCGATGAGTATTCTAATATTCCTTTTGGTTATATCCGTTGTAATTGTGATAGTAGCGGTTGTGCTTAGTGTTTTTAATCAATGCAAGGTATTATTTTGAGCTAATATACTTGATCCTTAAATTACATCATCCTGATTGAATCTAGTTTCCTTTAAAAACAATTACAAATGTTCATCATCATATTTTATGATAAATCCAAACCTTAAACTGTTCACTGTAATCTAGTTAGTAAGGAACCAAAATCTTTAAACATTTAAATTCCGAGTGAAATCGATCAAAAGTGCAAAGTATTATGATAGCTGAACTGGTAAATTTAAATGTTATGAAGGGTATTTGGTTGATATAAATGACATCATGTAGTGCTGCAGTCATGTGCTTGAGAGAGGAGACCACTCAACTGGGTTGCGACGTCAACCAGATTATCAGAAGGAGAAGGTCATGTCGACAAAGGAAAATAACCATAAATGTTGATATCGTATAAGAGTTTAGAGATTAAATCTACAGATCATTCTAATCAAATGTGACACAAGACAAGCCCTCACATGGAATCCTCAAAGCCAAAGATAAAGAGAAAGACCAAAGAATATATAACGCCGGGAAATGGAGATAGTCGTGAGAAAAACTAACAATAATTGGATGGAAATAAAAAAGAAGGTCCAGGACAGAGTGGGTTGGAGAATGCTAGTCGTCGGCCCATGCCCCATTAGGAGTAACAGGCGTGTGTAAGTAAGTAAGTATGTATGTAAGTGAGTATTAGTTCAAGCTGATATAGAACAAACCCTGGCATCAATATATGCAGATATGTCCCACTCTCCACAAGGTAACATAAAGAGAGGTGAATCAAATTTACCTAATCCGATATGAGATAAAAGCGATTGAATTGATTTGTCTTCCAAATGTACAAACTGACTTAATCACATACAGTCATGTTTGAGTATTGTTTAATAAAAATGTGATGTTGAATTGTCCAAGTGAATTCACTGATTTATCTTCTTGTTTTCAGTATTATACGATCGGTGTTTACATAGGTGCACAAATACTATTGTTCATTGTGAGTTAAATTGATGTTCATTTCTTGTTGATAGAATAATCATTTTGAAGTAAAAGTGAACTGTTTGTCTCAAATGAATTCTACATTGCCTTATTGAGGTCTCTACGTATTATCGTTACCTTGTCAAAACGTATATAACAGTGACTAATTGTATTTACATTTCAACATCATTCAATAACACATTTTCATTCTACATGAATAAAGACAGGACTGTTTTCGCATTCGAAATTCGCTGACACAAAACGAACTGTTTGAACAAGAAACTTCACGCTGATCTAGTTGCAATGGTTATTATTTATTTGTTTATTTGAACACAAATATTTGTACAGCGGGGTACCGAATACATATGACCCACAAAAGTCGCTTGATCTGTGTGAGCAGAGTGATACAACCGTGGTGCTTAGACCGTAGCAGGTAATTTTCTTTGCGGGCCCTTTTTGGGGCTTTCAACCTAATGGTCCGGTACAAAAGGCAGTGGAGCAACGTCAAGAGATAGAGTATCATGGCAGCCGATGACCAACGATTGATTCATACACCATTTGTTCCTTCAGGTTACTGGAGCGTATTTGCACCATTAGTTTGGAATAAGCGTTTTCTAATCCTCCACCAAACTGGTCAAAGCACCTGACGTTCGGTCTTCGTCCTCTCAATTTCGGGAACAATACGATCGATGAGAGAAGAGAGTGAGTAGCACTTTCTTGACAGTGGTTGTATATGCATGTTCATATAAGAGCATTTGAAGCGAGAGAGAGAGAGAACTAGCTAACTCTCGCTAGCCTCGGCCATAGATAACGGTATTTGGGGGCGCAATCCCTATTAATATTATGTTCTCCGTTGGTCACTTTGCAAACTGATGCATTTTTTATTTATTGATTTTACAGATAACGGTATTTATAAGTTATGTAACTGTTGGCAAATCAAGGAATCTTCTCTTTTATCCAAATTATTCACTGGCAGCCATATTATTGTATGTCATGTTCTTTTCAACTTTATTAATCAATGCGAATATAAAAATGACATTAACAAGACTGAAAGTTGTATATTCCAATTCCAGTTCCAAATTAACATGAACATTACATTAATATTGGATAGAAATCACAAAGTCTGTTTCTCGATTGTTTGTTTGTTTGTAATTTCTTTGCTATTCCTTTGAAGTTGAACTCTGGACCGATGGGAACCTTTATGGTTTTGCTGTTATTGTTATTTAAGTATCGATTCAATTAAAAATGTGTTTGTGTGTGTGTAAACTGACTACATGCCTGTATTTTGTTCTAAAGTTACGTATAATATGATGATTTTGAAAATAGTAATGTGATTTTAGTGATGTTATCCATCTTCAATTTAGATTACTGTACTTAGATAAGGATTATATGAAAAGAATGATTGTCATTAGAATAATTATTATACGTGAGTCGTATATCCTAGAGTTGTGACGAGAAGCCATGATCATTGGAGTTCAATACATGTATGCAAATATGAGACAGTTATTCAACTCAGACAATGAATGAAGTCTTAAGCTAAATCATGAATCGATTGAAGTTAAACATCAGCGCTGTTTGATACCGGTTTAGTGGCCTAGGGATCAAGCGTTGACGCACGAGACCAAATATCCTAAGTTCGGGTTCGGCGTCTGAATACGTGGATGCGCACTTCTGAATATCTCATACTTGGACTGATGCTGCTCTTCTATGCTTCCAGATGTCCAATCGTGATGTAGTTAATATCCGCTCTAAAATTCAACGGTTAAAATATACAGAATATTATTATGATCTTTGTAGACGACAATACTTCAGAAGAAATTTTTATATATATTAAAAGATATTTGCTTTGAAAACGTATATAATCATGATCAAAATTATAATAATTTATTCTCAACTAACGGTTTACTACATGTGACATGCCAGTTTACAGGCAAGAAGAAATTGTTACAGAAGATACAATTTTCACTGTAGTAAATTGCTCAGTTGGGTTAATATTTTATAAGATATGAATATAGATGATTATAGCAAGCATTGTTTTTTCAATACAACAGTTGATGCGCTCAATGAAGGTTGCGTAGCGACGTGCAACTGATGGTTGTGAATAGATCCATGTGAAGGGATTGCCGTTCAGTGCTTCCAGACTTTCAATAGTAGTGTGGTTATCATTCTCTCTCAAATTCAACTGTTAAAATTCAGGTATCCAATAGCGTTAATGTCTATCTTATATCGATCGATGGTCTTTCTGAACCCTCCATGCATTGTCTGAAGTAGACAACACAGATTGGACTACTCTAGTAACGGTTTCTTACTATAACTGCATGAACTTCATGTTGAAGCTAGTTATATAATCGTTCGTAAATGTTCATTTTAAATTCTTGTTTCATCACATTTCCAATACCAGAAAATAATAAATTTGACCCTAATTTATAAAATCATTATCGGTATTACTAATAGAATTTCAGCAAGTTTCCGGTTCTTATGTTTTGATCGATTCTAACAATCTCCATTTAAATATCAGCAGTTACAAGTGAAACACGTTACGTGTTGAGACATCTTGATTGCTGGAATGGGTAACCGCGATATTCAAGAAAAACATCTCTATTAACTTATTCATTGGATAGTATGGTGTTCAACACAATGATTGAATAGAAATATGTTGAAATGAGAATAACATTTATGTCACAAAATGTAAAGGTAATAGAACATCAGTAATTACAACAGAATTCTAGAATACAATAGGTAGAATTTAAGTTGCGGTTGAATGATAACACCTAATCGATTATATGTCAAACAAGAACATCCGAAATTGATTCTTTCAAACCATTCAAACCACTGAAGTTTAAATTCTCATGGTTATTTGTGGTTGATTTGATTGTTCTATGTTTATCGAAACCTTACTGGACACTTGTTTAAAGATGTATAAATGGTAGTTGGTTTGTAGTGTTTAAGTCCTTTCATAAGGAGTTGACTTGCGAATTCTCTATCAGTTGTCCCTCACATCTTTCGTAATTCATTTTTTTCTCAATTCTTTTATGCATCCATATCTGTTTTGTTCAGTTCATTATTATCAACCTTCTGTCGTCAGACTTTCCATTTCTGGCTGTTGTTTCATATTACTGATACGGACAGACATAAGTAGCATAAAACATAGGTCATGGGCTGGAGTCACGCGAGACAGGATTGTCGATAAGAAACGCTGAGTAGTCGAACTGTGAAATGAAACGGCTGTTCAGTGCTTCCACGTTTCTGTCGTGGACTAGCTCCAATTGGTTCACGTTCTTAACTATTAAACTTACTATCATATCCACAAAAACCTATTCTGATATACTTAATCAGTTTGTTTAGTGCAAATCATTTGTCATTCAAGCATTCGAGTATTCAATACTTCGAAATCATTTATTAACTATATTTCTGATTTTGAAGAGTTCAGCTGATCCAATGTCATAATCACTGTATGGTTTTACACGAAGTGATACGTTTTTAATAGCTCCTTGTCTGTCTACAGTCTGATCGTACTAAGATGTTATGAATATAAACGTTCCATTTAACTCAGTATATTATTTAGATTAATCCTGTTTATGTGACAGTGATAATAAGAATAAAAAATATGAATACGTTATGAGAATTTGTCCAAAGCAGTCGCTTATTCAGACAGACGTTTTGAACGAAATATAGGGAAGCAAAGTGTAGAGTACTGGAGAGAAGAAGGCAAGCGATCCTGCTCAAATTTTATCACATATTTTGTCACGACAGTCGGAATTTCCAGTTGTGAAAGTATGTTTCAACGAACAATCAAACATTACAGATTAGGGTGGTAGTATACAAATTCTTAAGATCTCAACAAATTCCTCCCTCGTAAATGGCTCCCACTAACTCGACACCCAAATATTGTAAAAATATTCGTTAAAATATAAACCATAGAATCTCAGAGATCGATGTAATGTACAGCTGAATGGATAAAGATGGATACGTTTGCGTTAACGAGTAAACCAGCAAGGTAAACAACAATGTTTTTACGTGAATGAAAATTCATATACATTCACACAACATCTTCTATGAATGATCTCACACTGCCTCTTTAATATTGGCCATCTACTTAGAATCGAGGAACTTTAGATTGAATATCTACTTCACCATATTCAAGTCGAATTAAAAATGAGAAACGTAATACTGAACAATTCACCCTTCGGGTTTGTTGAAAACATTTGTACTAATATTATTATTATGGATGATATATTACGTTACGAATAACGTCTAATGTATATCATCCTGTAATATGTTTAGAGCGATTACTAGTTCACCTAGACTGCAAATGGAACAAAGACCCTGTGGCCAAAGATAAAAAAGCTGGCTATTCTGATGCGTCATAACCACGCTCACTAGAGAGAGAATTTCAAGTCCGAGACGAGGAATTACATTCCGCACAGCCAGAAGCACGAGCAATCACGACTGGCACAAATCAAAAGTGTATCAAAAGTGTACAGCGGACTGAAAGCAATCAAGATTCTTCCAAGTGAGATGTATGACATGAAGGTGAAAACGAGCGGTTTTTACAAAGTTATGGGGATATGACATCCCCATCATCCTGAGAATGCCACCTATTACATAGACTATGATCAGCGCTTTGTTCGTTCGCCATTCATCTAGGGAATGACTATATGATGTTCGTATGTAACCATAATTTAAGTGAACATTATTGGGAATACAACATCTTCATTTGTACTCTCAAACTTGAATACGGATTAAGATGGGAATGGATAATATGTTAATCGGACAGCTATGAGTATTACTCATCAGTGAATCTATTCGACTACTCGTGTTATTCACATACATCTATCATTCCATTGAGAATACACCAATGGAAACGAATAAAGGGCGTCAGTGAATCGTAAAGTGTTGCGAAATGTTTAGACAGAAGGTAATGAAAAACTATTTATCACCTATCTCTCCGGTTAGATCAATTTGAGTAGAACATCAATGTTAAAGCAATTCATGTTCCTGAACACTATCATTGAACATTCCTTATAGCAGTGAAACATGCGGTATTGGATTTTTCTCGGAACATTGATGTCATTTTTTTTCATATGGAATATTTTGAGGTATCATGTCACACACTGTTTTGCAAATGATAAGCATGAATATTTTCGTTTTTTGATTATTCGGTCGTGCGATTTGTCATTTTAATTGTTCTTCAATATGCGTTAGTAACTAACCATATTGATTTACTTGAAACATTCTAGAATAATAGATCACTTGGTTCTGAATGAGTCATATATTTCACTAGATTCATATGAACATTGTAGTATCGGAGTTACTTTGAATGTTTATTAGAACATTTCGGTAATAAATGAAAAACTCATATATATTTGGTAGCTGAATGTACGAGACAACTGTAGCTAAACCAGCGAGGAATACCTGGATTCATTGAACGACTTATCGTCCTGATGTGGTATTCCCAGTTGAGCACATTCACGATCCGGCCTCCTAAGATTCGAAAGCAGGACTCATTGAACTTACTTCAATAATGTTCCAAAGTTACACAGAGCTGCAATGTAACATTTTAGCACAATGTGTGATTACGTAACACAGAGAATTTCAAGTTGACATTAGTGGGCACAAATAGAGATGAAAACAATAAATCTCCCATTTAATAACTATTCTAATGACAATGATACTTTTCATATGTTCTTCATCTAGGTAAAGTAATCAACACTGAAGATGGATAACAATTATTGAAATCACTTTATACACGTTACATTGTTATCCATTAGGACAAAAATAAACACATGTAATCAGTTTGCACACGAACAAACAAGTTTTTGATTGATCCCATATTAAGTCAACAACAACAACAACAACCACAAAAGTCAGAAGGTTCTCTTCAATTCAGTGTTCAAATTCAATGTTCTGTTATATGGAACTGGAATATAGAACTATTGGTCTTGTTGACATTAATGATATCCGTATTGATTGATAAAGTCGAAAAGAATATGGTATATAATAATATAGATGCCAATGCATAATTTGGATATAAGAGAAGATATCTTGATTTGCCAACAGTTAAATAACTAAGAAATATTGTTACCTGTAAAATAAATAAAACATTCATAAGTATGAAGATTGCAGTAATGTGAATGGTTGACTTGACGAGTCAATGTAAATTAGATGCACAATTGAAATCCTAGAAACACAAGAGGTTATTTTGTCGTAATATGGAACTCTTCATAGTACACAACCATGATCATGTGGCCTCAATTATCTACTAGTTAGGTATTCGCGTGTGGGATCGTAGGTCCTAGGTTGGAGTCCTGTGTTTGGGATCGTAGATGAGCACTGTTGAAGAACCTCATGCTAGGGCGAAACATCCATTCAGTGTTTCCATGTTTTCAATAGTGATCTAGTTTAGATCGACTCGTCAATTGAACTGTTTAAAACATTCATAAGCTTGGATTTCATATGCGTAATTCGACAACCAGATTAGAATAAATAATGATATTTC